CCCTGGTGCTGTCCATCAAGCATGGCTTATCCACTTTTGATCTGAACGTGAGAGTACTGCATCACCTAGATCAATGGTTTTCAAACTTATGTTAGCTACAGTCTTTTGTTAAATGGAATCTTATATGGTCACATAGTCATCCTACATGTGGTGAGGGATACAATAGAACTAGACATGTTAATGTTATATATTAATTCTATTTACGTAAAAGGAGCAGCTATTAATTATTAGAGAAATGCAAATCAAAACTACAATGAGGTATTGCCTCACACCAGTCAGAATGGCCATCATTAAAAAGCCTACAAATAATAAATGCTGGAGAGGGTGTGGAGAAAAAGGGACCCAGCTACACTGTTGGTAGGAATGTAAGTTGGTGCAGCCACTGTGGAGAACAGTATGGAAGTTCCTTAAAAAAACTAAAAATAAGAGTTACCATATAATCCTGCAATCCCACTTCTGGGCGTATATCTAGAGAAAACTTTAATTCAGAAAGATACATGTGCTCCAGTGTTCATTGCAGCACTGTTTACAATAGCAAAGACATGGAAGCAACCTAAATGTTCATCAACAGATGAATGGATAAAGAAGATGTTGTGTGTGTGTGTGTGTGTGTGTGTGTGTGTGTGTGTAATGGAATACTATTCAGCCATAAAAGGGAATGAAATAATGCCATTTGCAGCAACATGGATGGACCAAGAGATGATTATACTAAGTGAAGTAAGCCAGACAAAAACAAATATCATGTTATCACTTATTTGTGAAATCTAAAAATATTATACAAATAAACTTATTTACAGAACAGAAATAGACTCACAGACATAGAAAACAAACTTATAGTTAGCAAAAGGGATAGTGGCAGAGGGGAATAAATTGGGAGTTTGGGGTTAACATATACACAGTACTGTATATAAAATAGGTAAACAACAAGAACCTACTGTATAGCACAGGGAACTATACTCAGTATCTTGTAATAACCTATAATGGAAAAGAATCTGAAATAGAATATATATATATATATATATATATATATATATATATATATTCTTAGCTGTATACTTGAAACTAACACAACATTGTAAATTATACTTCAATTTTTAAAAAGAGCAGCTATCATCTATATCATTTTATTCTTGTGTGTAGAAGGTAACAATACTGTTTTTCTCATATTTACACAACTAAGTTAGCCCTTCTTTATTGGTGAAGTAGCTGACTATTTCTACTATGTGACCGTGGGTGGGTCTTGAGTGGGAAGAAGCCACTTGGCACATAGAAGGTGCTCAGTGAACACTTGTGGAGAACACACACATACACATACACACACACACACACACACACACCTCTGCTAATGTGCCAGAGAATTAAAATACTCCTCCTTTGAGACATTTCTTTCAGTTAATTTATTTTATATCCAGAAAGCCCCTGTGATAACATGCAAATAGTTTAGTGAGGGACCAATATTAACCCATTAGCATCAAAGTTTGGATTATTTATCTAGCAATCTGGATTATTTATCAGTCACTTTGTGACAGAGAGTTTATAAATATGAAAGGACCTAGAGACTCAAAGGGCAGAACAGGAGGTGCCACTTTGAATCTTCCTTCCCAACTTTTAGCTTTGTTTGAAGGATTTGCTATTCATTCATACCTCAAGTGTTTATTCAGTACCTACTGTTAGTATAAGGAAAGCATTGCCCTAAAAGTAGCAAAGGATACACAGATTAATAAGATACAGGTTCTGCCTTCAAGGAGTTTATGATAGACTAGCATAGGTAAGGCAAATATTTAAATGTCTATAACATTAGATAGAAAGTGGTAGGTGCCATAAGAAAGATATAAACAAGGTACAAAATTATCTTAAAGACAGGAAAGATTTTTCCAGGCTGGGGGAAATTGGTATGCAATTTCCAATTTAAAAAAATATCAATCTCTATAGTTAGAGAACCATCCATTTGTTTACTGTCCTCCTGCCCTTATTTTTTTATTCACTTACATGTCTTTCTGCTGAGCTGAAACATTCTTCATGGCAGGGTGTATCTTGCTCTTTGTATACCAAGGGTGTATCTGTGCCTGGCTCATAAAATGCACTCAATAAATATTTGTTGAATGGATGTGTGTGTCACTGATAATCAAACTTGCATTCTAATAAAGTGCAATTTTCTCCTCAGAAACCAAACATTTTAAAAGCACAGCTTTTATAAGATTGTACACAATTTTCACCACAAAGAAAGTAAAGAATATCTTAGAAAAGATCAGATCTGAGATCTATAAACCCGAATAAAAGGGTCTATAGAAACACCTATCTATCATTCTCTTCAGTTACACTGGTTGTGACAATATGTATTTATTGATATTTAATGACGTGGCAGGGACTGTAGTGAAAGTGAGTTATGAATAAATTTATGTTTCAATTATAGGTAAATGATAAATCATACATAATCCTGCTTTAAGTGTTCACCTTAAAGTAGAAAAAATTTTTCATATTTAGCACTAAATAATTTCTAAGGTCCCTCAAGCTTTGAAAATTTTGTAATTTTTTGATTACCCATGGGTGAGAAATAAGTATAAGCATATTGTTTGTCTTTTTCTTTGACTACTTACGACAATGTCATTTGTCTTAGAATGAAAACTCTTTGGGACAGTTCCTGTAAGTCAGTTCAGTGAATATGTCTGAAGCAGCTGCTGGGGTTTGGGTAGGAGGACTAAATTTAATAAATTGCAGTGACCAGGAACTTACAGACTGCAGGGGGATACATACAATCATTATAAAGTGGAAAAAAGAAATAGGAGCTTATATGTCTCACATATAAGAAGTCTGGAGGCAGGCAGTCCAGGGCTTGTACAGCAGCTCAGTATTGTCATCAGAGACTCTGCCTCTTTTTATTCTCGTGTTTCCAATACTTATGTGTGGGTTTCTATCCTCATGGTTGAAAAATGGCTATGGCACCTCCCAGTATCTAGCCGTGCTCTCCTCTTAAAGCTTTATCTCTTTATCTTTTTATTTGTAGTAGGAAGCCTGCCCCAGGGACTTCTTCCTACAACTCACTGGCCAGAACTATATCATATGGCCAGTCTTAGCTGAAAGGTGGCTACGGAAGAAGGGAATTGTGGATATCAGTTACAATAGCCAAGCAGCAGTGTTTGCAGTTACTCCTTTTATGTTTACCCTTTGGGCCAAGTTGTTTATGCATGGGCCAAGTTGTTTATTGTGCTCTAAGAATTTCCTTTTTGTCATTAAATGATTCACTTACTAAGTCAATAACTATTTATTTTTTATTGCCTAATATGTGCCAGTTACTGTTCTAGGTTTTGGGGATGACAACAGTGAATAAAAACAACAAAGTTGCTGCTGTCATGGAGCTTACATTCTACTAAGAAGGTTATAAACAAATAAGTATAAATATATATTATAGGTATATAAATATCAATATATATGTGTATATGTGTGTGTGTATATATATATATATTTTTTTATATATATATTTTTTTTTTTTTTTTCCCATGAAGAAAAGTAAAGTAGGGTAAGGAGAATAGAGAGTGATGGTAGGTAATATTCTATGTAGGATGTTTAACAAAGGCCTCTGATTAGGTGATCCTTTAGCAAAGACATGAAAGAAATGAGGGATGAATGGAACCATAATATCTGGGGAAGAATGGTCCAAGTAGAGGAAATGGCAAGTATGAAGACCCTAAAGAAAGATATATTTGGCATTCTCAGTCAAGGAACCAGTTTGGCTAGAGCACATTGAATAAGGGTGAAATGATAGGAGAAGAGAACATTGTAGGCTATAATATGTTGGGCTTTGAGGGCCATAGCAAAGATTTTACTCTGAGTGAAATGGAAAGTCATGGAGAGTTGTGAGCAGAGATTAGCACAATTCAACTTACAGTTTAAAAGGAGCGTTGTAACTACTGTGTGGAGAATAAACTGTAATGGGACAAGGATAGAAGGAAGGAGACAAGTTAGGACACTATTCAATTTCCCAGGAAATAAATGATGGTTCCAATTATTGTAATAATTGAAGAGATGGTGAGTAATGATCAGATTCTAGAGACATTTTAATGGTAGTTTAGATATGGTTCTGACAAAACTAGAAGAATCAAAGATGTCACCAAGGTTTTGGATTAATAACTGAGTGAGTAGAGTTTGTATTTACTGAGATGGGAATTGCAAGAGAATAAGACATCGTGCAGGTAGGTTAGGAGGGTGGGGAATCAAGAGTTTGATTTTGAACATGTTAAGTTTGAATTGCCTGTTGCACATTCAAGTGCATATTTGATGATTTATAAGCTTGTAGATATACGCTGTTATCCACCAGCTATTTGGATGACATATAAGTCTAGAGGTGAAGGTAGAGGTTGGGGTTGGAGATATAAAATTAGGGGGTTTAGTGTATGGGTGGTATTAATGCCAGGGGACTAGATAAGGTTACATGGGGAGTGAGTAAATAATAATATTTTTCTATGTTTTTAGAAGAAAGAAAATTTCCTATGAAATTCTGAATAAATTCAAGTTTGTATATTTCACTTCACTAACTAGCTCATTAAGTGTTCAAACTTCAGTATAGTAGTTAAGGACATGGACTCTAAAGCCTGGCTACCTAGGTTTGAATCCTGGCTCTTCAGTTTCTAGCTTTGCGATTTAGGCCAAGATATGTAAACCTCTTTTTCCTCATCTGTAATAAAGGATAATAATGATGGCTCCCTTTAGGTTGTTGTGAAGATTAATTAGAATAGTGCCATGGCACATAGTTAAGCACTCAAAAAGGATTAGCCAATATCATCATTAAATTTCACCAACTTTTGATACATGATGTAACATTACTAACTTGATATAATGTTCCACCAAAGCAGGCTATATTTTGGAAGCTGGAAAAAGTTTCTTACCTTGTAATCTTCATTTCTGGACACATGAAATTGAGAATTGTTGATATTTATAAGCCTTTCCCACTTTTTAATCAGTGTTTCAGCATCATATTCTTAGTTAATTATCTTCCTGTTTAGGTCACAGTGCTGTTGATATCACCAAGGTGGCTAGAAGACACCGCATGTCTCCTTTTCCTCTAACATCTATGGACAAAGCCTTTATCACAGTCCTGGAGATGACTCCGGTGCTTGGGACAGAAATCATCAACTACCGAGGTACTGTTATATTTGCCCATTGCCTTTTATTTTCATTTTTTTCCAAATAAGATTCATCTAACACTAATACACAGTTTTCCTGAAAGAGAAATGTTATTAATCATTACTGCAATTATCATCATCTTGCTTTTTGCTTCTTATTTCTACTCAACTCTAAGATCAATCTTAATGGTATACAGAGTAAAATACCCATAAAGCTTCCTTTACATAAAGAAAAAAAAAAAAAAAAAGGAAAAAGTCAACAGTGTTTCTCCTGTTCATCAAAATACCAGTACTCTAAAGAAAGGGCTCTCAGCCCTGAGTGAGAAAAACAGTTGACTGTGAGTCTGCCTTATGTCCTTTCTGACAGAAATGGGAGATAACTAATGTGTCTCGCAATTATTTTCATTTGTGGAAATCATGTTTTTAAATGTAAATACTACGTTAATTTATCTATGGATCACTGAGCAACCAGTCTGATCTCAGTTTTTCTGCTTCATATATCTTCTCATTTTCTGCTCTTAGTTTAGTAGTACATTGAGACCAGCTTGTGGAAAGATAATGGAAGGGTAGTTTTCCCCAGTGTTTTCAGTTTTTAATCAACTACTTCCCTTTCTAAAAATTCAGTTCAGGTGCAATCTGAATAAAATGTAGTTTCTTAATTGTTTTTGTTATACAGATAAAAACAATACAAAAGGATTGCTTTTACAAATAAAGGACTTTATTCACAGATCATAAAACATTCAAATTTCAATGAACATTAGAGAGCATCTATACAGACACCGTAATTTTTCTACAAGAAATCTCAAACTCAGAACAGCAGAAAAGGAATAGGATTAAGGCTCAAGACTTAACATTTTTGGGAATTCCTTTGCAGTCCAGTGGTTAGGGCTTGGTGCTTTCATGGCGGTGGCCCGGCTTCAATCCCTGCTCCGAGAGCTAATATCCCGCAAGATGCGTGGCACGGCCAAAAAAGAAAAAAAAAAAGACTTAACATTCTTACTTTTACTACATGATAGTGCTCTTCTTCCAGTGTTAAAATATAAAAAACAATAGTAGATAAAGTAACAAATTATGTGAAAATTAAAAGGCCTAAAATTAGTGAAATATTAAATGCCAAATTCTAGCTCTTTGATCCCTGACCCGACTTAGACAAAAATTATTTTTACATAACTTACACCTATCCTACATCTTTGACTTACATTCTTTTAGATATGTTATCATTAGGTTTAAACCTTTTCTTTTGTTTTTGTTTTATTCCTCATTAAAGGAAATAAAGGTAATAAAACTGACGAGTGGGGAGTTAGGAATTAACTACATAATTTCAGAAATCAATTTTAATGAAATAGGTTTCTTTCTATTATTAAGTACAGATATTTAGATATTTTTATGTCAAGCAACACTAAGACATCTTCAGAAAATATGAATATAAAATTAAGTTGAAAAAATTTACATGTTATAAAAATAAGTTAACCATCCCTGGCCTCTTGTAATATCAGGGTAGTTTCTCTTAACATCAGTCCTTAGAAAAATCTCACTGTGATGCCAAGTCACATTTAGACAGAAATTCCAGTCCTTTTAAGGAAAAAACAGAACTGGAAATGGCCATTTCTATTTCTCCTCTAGAAAAAAAACAATACTGTCAGGTGGATTCTTTTTTCCTTTCATGTGCTTGTTTCCCCTTCATTTGTTCATCAAATCAGTTGTCACTCATAAGTAAGCAAACTCTTCATGGATGGTTAACTTCTTGTCAAGTGTTTCCATGCATGATGATGAAAAATAATAGTTAGGTTTGCATTCAACCTTTGAGTTCGATCAAACGCGATTTGTAATGCAAAAGAGCATTATAATTAAACCTCCTAGGCACTTTAATTAGTTGTTTAGAAAACAACACCATATATAGAAACATAATTCAATTTGTTCAACAATTATCTATTAAAAATCTAAATTCCAGGTACTATGTTAAGTCCAGATAATGCAAAGATGAATAAAATAAAACCCCACCCCATGCATCTCACTGTGTAGTGCAAGAGAGGGACAGATAAACAATGTGGTACATTTTCTCCTTTACTGGCTCTTTTGTAAGCTTGCCTTCCTTTGTCAGTTCCTTGAATATGAACTTTCTTTAGGGTGTTTGTCTCTGACCCTTTTCAGATCTTACACATTCACTTCAGATAACCTCATACATGCCAATTGTTTCAAGTACCAACTATTAAGTGATTTCTAAATCTGTATCTTTGCCCAGACCTTGCCTGAGCTCCAAACTCTTACAACAAATGTATACCTGCTGCTAGTAAATTTAGCATGACCAATATTAAACTTATTTTCTTTACTTCTACAATACTCATTTCTTCTACGTCCTCTTGAATCTGTCCCTTGTTTGCCATCCCCACTGCTATGATTTTAATTTAGGTCTTTATTATTAACTTCCTGGATTATTGTAAAGGCTTCCCTCCCCCAATTAGCATCTTTACATCCATTTTCCAATTTCCTACCAAAGTTATCTGTTCAAAATTTGATATTAACATTCCTGCATACAGCTCTTCAGTAGTATTCCTCATAACCTCCAGATAAAATTCAAACTCCTTGATATGTCATATAAGGCCCTTTATAATTGGCCACTATGTATTCTTTTTTTTCCTGACTTTATTGAGGCATAATTAATAAATTTAAATTGTGTATATTTAGGGTATACAGCATGATGACTTAATATACATATACATTGTGAAATAATTACCATAATCAAGCTAATTAATACATCTATCACTTTATAGTTACTCTGTGTATGTGTATGTATGGTGAAAATACTTCAGATTTACTCTTTTAGCAGATTTCAAGTATACAATACAGCATTGTTAACTACAGTCACCATGCTGTACTTTAGATACCCAGAATTTATTCATCTTATAAATGAAAGTTTGTACCCTTTGACCAACATCTCCCCATTTTGCCAGTACATGTTTTTTAAGATTAAGCTTAAGAAGCTCTCCTCCATGAAGACATTTCTGGTGTCCACTCCTCCGTTTCCCTAGCTGGGTTAAGTATCCTCCCTCCATGTCCCCATAGCACCTTGTTCATTCGTTTTATAATAGCAATGACTGACATATGTGATCACTCTCTCTCATAAATGCCCTAATAAATAACATGGGTATAAAAAGCTGAGTGATCTAAATGTGAATCACTATAAATTGAGTTTTGAGTCAAATGTGGCCTGTAATTCTCTTACTCAAGATAAGCTATTTCTCCCCAGAAAAAAGATTAGAAACTCATTCTCACTATACTTTAAATGTTATCTTTTCCAAGGATGTTTGCATTTTAATGAGCAAACCTTCATAGTTCATTTTGATTTCAACTAGATGCACCTCTAACTATTGAATTTCATAGGGGTGAGGAGGACTGAAAGGCCTTCACAGTTCTCTGAAATCCCAAATATTTGCCTCTACAAATACTCGGACACCTACAATTATAGAAGCCTGTAGAGGAAAGCCCATGTTTCCTAAGAGAAATCCAGAACCACTGAATCTATGAGGCAGTTTGCTACTGTAGGATCTCTAAAATTACTTTTTATATGTCTTTGAAGGTTCAACAATAATCCAGAATACTAAGAATAAATCATGTATACAGAAGTGCTGGTAGTGATGCTCTCAAGGTCATACATATAGGGTAACTCTGTGAAGGAATGTTACAATATAATATATTAAATACTTATAATATTACAATAAGAAGGTAACTTGGAGATCAGGTAGTCTCTCTTACTTTAAAGACAAAGGAATTTAGGACCAAAGAGATGTAATAATGTTCTTAGAGTTGGACAAATTGTTATGATTAAAAACAACTAGAACCTAGGATTCTTAACTCCTAGTCTACTGTTCATTCCATTATAGCAGAGTACGTCTCAAATCAGTATGAAAATTATTCTTCTAAAGTAAGTGCCTAGATGTGTAAAGTGTATTGTTTGTTTGTTTTAATCTATTTTGACTACAGGTGAATTTTCTATTGTCTCTGGTCTGCCCTTTAGCATATCTACTATTTTCAGCTCCTATCTGCAAGCAAGGCCTTTAAAGAGCAAGTGCTCCACTGATTATAAATACCTTACTTTGGTTTCTTGGGAGAGGAATACCAATAGAAGATAACATTTGCAAGACTACCATTTATGCTTCATCTTTGCTTATAAAATGCATGACATGAACACATTACAAATTCACACTTGGTACAGTACTAGCTACTGAAAGGCAGATTAAAATATTCTAGAATTCCCTGTAATCCCCAATATTGTTCAGTTAACAGTGGAAAAACTATAATCTTTGAATAGAAAGGATTCTGCTTTCTTAGAAGCATGATTTTATAAGCGCTAGGCCTTTTTTAAAGATTTCATGACCAAAGACTTTAGCATCGCTGACCTCAGTTCTTTGTATTTCCACAAAAGACTTAAGCAATTCTAGACAAGGAAGCTTTAAGTTTACTGAACTCAGTTTAAAGCAGTGAAGTATCCTTTTTAGCATATTGACCACAACAGAGGTAGTTCTCCCTGTCTCTGACCTAAAGCAAGATATATTTATAATATATTTTAAAAGAAAAAAATATATATGAAAATATAGAAGGAGGTATGAAAGAGGAAGATTAGTCTACCTGGTTGTGACATAGGAATAATTCAGCCCGCTTTATAGGTCTGATTCCTCTGTAAGTTAATTTTACTCAATTGTGTAACTATAAAAAGAACTCCCCCACACAAGGGGGCTTTATGAGTGCCAAAACAGTCATAATATCTAGTTGAGAAGTTACTGCTGCCTGGCTCCTTTTCTAAAACCACGTGCCCAGAGTTTATTCAACACTAATACTTGGGCTCCACCTATGGGCAAAGAGAAGAGATGGTTTAACATCTATCTGAGTATTTATATGTATGCAAGAGACTGCCCCATGTGATAAAGTAATTTGCAGCACTACTATATACTCTTTAAGTTCCAAAGTCGATCATTGAATGAAATGTAATATTGACTGCTTGGAAGAGCTATCCATTGTCT